ATTCACTTACTCAGATCTTTAGGAAAATTGTTCTCCAAGGCTGTTCGCACTTTTATGAAAGTCGAATTGTCAACGATATCATTGAGATCCAATTTATCGGCTCCTAACTTTTGTAATGCGCATACAAGTTTATACACCTAAAACGTCACATTTGTATTAATCTGCATAAATAGAAAAACAACGTTAAAATCAATACCAACCTCGCGAGGAACATTTGGTGGGCAAAATTCGTCATCTTCTGGACCATCACCCTACAAAAACAACTTCCGCAACAAAAAAAGGTGACAAGCATCCAGCATCCACGAGATAATAAAACGTCAGTAGGAAAAAATACTATAAATAAAGAATTGAAAAACAATCAAAGCACTCACGAAGTCTATCAGATTCTTTTCTGGTTCCGCTTTGCGATTCATAAGATGTTCAAGTGATACTCCGAAGCATCTGGAATAATGTAGTAGTCAATTTACACTTGTGTTCGTGAAAATAAATTCACATAATTTCAGATACAAATGTAAGTAGTGATTTGTAGGCTATTTCTAATAAAAGGCTAGCTTTCTAACCTGGGAAGGTATGTCGCAACAACGGGTACAAAGTAATCCCGTCCATGCTCCAAGTTCATAACTAGAATATCTTGAAGCTTCGTGTCCTTAGCTTCCCACGAAATCTCCTTATCGATAATGACTGTCAGTGATATCTAAATACTCACTCAAAACCATAATACAGCGGTTACTATTGGCATCTTACCTGAGTTGACTGTCCAATCGGGATAACATAATGCGGTGGTGTGATTTGGAGCCATTTTGCACAGATACCTCGTTCCGGTCTAACAATGAACTTGAATCGAACGGGAGACTTTCCCGTGTTCTTCACTGTTATCAATCGAGTGCTGGGCTCCAGAAAACGAACTTCACCAAAGTCCACCTGAATTTGAGCAGACTGAACTCTGGTTACGAGAAAATCTTAACAACATCATGTGCTCTGCTTCAGAGATGAGCAGAAACTTTTTCGATATCTTTGAGGAAAGGACTGAAAAAAAGAACGGAAGAACGATTGGAAAGCTAACCTCGGTAATACTCAATGAAACTTGAGGCAAAAG